AAAACACTTCAATTAAACCTGACAGGAGTGGTTGGATGACCAGAAGTGAGAAACATTGCGAAGTAAATCGCTCTACGTCCTTGCTAGAAGAATCAACTCGTTCTGATGCAGCTCGATCATCCTCTATTGATCGTAGAAATTTTCAGATTGTGGCAACAGTGCAGCACTTGACAAGTTCTTGGCTTGGCCGGTCGCCATTTCAGAAATTTACATGGAAAAAATGAAAGCAGGTACGTCGATCCAGCGTCCCAGATCGATATCACAGAATGTCATAGCCGTTTTGGTTGGCTGCAGAACTATGACATTCCCTGCAGCCCCCTGCATAGAAACAAATAACATGTTCAAACCATGAAAAGCAGCTGTTAGAAGTTTTACATCTCTTCAGATGTTTCACACACACACACACACACTTGTTCATACCCCCGTTCATGTCACTCGTCACTACACGCACGCTAGATAACAAACATATTTTTGAGACATTTTTAAAAAGCTAACACACACACATATATATATATATATTTATTTATCAAAGGAAGTTGGGAAGCAATCTTCCGAGTTACGGGCAAAAACACTTGTGCAACTTTGTGAAGCCGGTTCACATAGGGAAGTGGCGAAGCGGTGACTTGTAGAAGTGGTGGCTCTGTGACGTGGGTTAACTTAGGGAAGTGTTTACTTCGGAAGTGAGGACTTAGAGAAGTGGTGACTCGGTGAAGTGGTGACTTAGTGAGAACTTGTAAAGTGGTGACTTTGTGAAGTGGGTTGACTTAGGGAAGCGGTGACGTGGAGAAGTGCATGGTGACTTGTAGAAGTGGTGGCTGTGTGAAGTGGGTTGACTTCGGGAAGCGATGGCGTAGAGAAGTGGTGACTTTCTGACTTGGGACGCAAGACATTGTGTTTTTTCGTGTAAAGTGGCTGCAGGCGGCAATGAAAGGTACCTTGTGTATGCGGCGGGTGCAGCTCCGGTCTTTTTGATGTGTCCTTGTTCCCGCAGTGTAACGGTGCCTTGTGCTTTGGGCGGGTTCGCGTGCGTAGTTAAAGGGCGTTTTGGAGTCTGCGGTCGCAGATCGCACTGAAATGGCTGCATGATTGTTGTCATGTTCTCTTGCGACGTGCGTGGACACATGCGGCATGCGGTTTTGCAACGTGGCGCTGCAGATCGCATTGTGATGGCTGCATGATTGTTACCGTGTTCTGTTGCCATGTGTGTAAATATATGCGGGCTTGCTACTTTGCAGCGCAGATCGCATTGTAATGGTTGCATCAAGGTACCTTTGCAGCTGGGCATTGAAAATCATATTGGAGTGGCTGCGGTTGCGATGGTGGTTGACTAGCAGATGTGTCCCAATTTGGGCGCTGATCATTTTCCCTTTAAAATTTCAGATTGAGTGCTTCAAAATCTTTTTTCCCGCATTGATGACGCCGAAATGACGTTTTGGAGCTGCAATCCGCCGGCCTGCCGGCGTGTCTGATTGGAAGGTGTTGCTCCTGTTCGTTCTTGGCTTGTACTTGTTCCTTTGTTCTCTTGCTACGCGTTTTTGCTTGGTCTGAATGCAACTCGCCCCCCTACCCCTCCCCTCCCGGCCAAACCTGCCCTAAGTACAAGTATACAAGTCTAAGTATAAGTATACAAGTCAAAGTATAGTATACACGTCTAATAGTACTAATAGTATGAAGAACACTACGGTATTAGTACTAGTAGTACTAGTAGTACTTCAGTACCAGTAGTACCGCACAAGGCGGTGGCGGAAGTTTCAAAAATAGGAAACCTATAGGAGAGATTGGCTGTTGTGAATCAGGGATGGCAGAGCGAAGCCACTGATGGACCGAAAGGTGCTTGAGGTCTCCTCTCTTTCTCTCTCTTTCTCTGAATAGCTATCTATGTATCTATGTATCTATGTATCTATCTATCTATCTGTCTATCTATCTATCTATCTGTCTATCTATCTATCTATCTAACTAACTAATCCTATCTATCTATCTATCTAACTAACTAATCCTATCTATCTATCTATCTATCTCTCCATCTATCGATCTATTGTTGTTGTAGTTGTAGTTGTAGTTGTTGTGGTCGTTGTTGTTGTTGTTGCTGTTGTTGTTGTTGTTGCTGTTGCTGTTGTCGTCGAAGTTAGGGTAGTTAAGTTAGTGAAGTTAGTTAAGTTAGTCAAGTTAGTTAAGTTAATCAATGTCTACTTTTTCGACATCTTCACGTCAAAAAGGCTCAAAACCCTCAGTTTTTTACACTTTTGACTTCGAAATGTGCTTCGCGCCACAACGGCGTGCACTTTTTCGACACTTTTTCGACATCTGAACATCCAAAAGTGGTCCGAACCCCTAGTGTTTTTAACATTTTGACTTGGAAATGTGCTTCGCGCCACAACGGCGTGCACTTTTTCAACATCTCAACTTCCAAAAGCGGTCCGAAGCTGAGGTGTTTTGTACATTTTGACTTCGAAATGTGCTTCGCGCCACAACGGCGTGCACTTTTTCGACATCTCAACTTCCAAAAGTGGTCCGAGACCGCCA